ACCCCGTTTTTCAAAAATTGAGTTTTCATCAGATCTCGACGTTTGGAGGTCACAGGAAGCTTCCCTGACTACCCCCGCGGTGGTGACTGTGTGTCTGTCTGTATGTATGTATGTATGTATGTGTGTGTGTATGTTTTTTTTTTATTATAAGGGGGAGGGAATCCTTTTTATGGATTCTAGGCATAGATTTTGGCCCGGATATGTGGCGACTCGACGCAGCGTCATACTAAAACTTGACGCTGACGCCCCTACCCACTAAACCCTAAACCCCTTTCCTCTTTCCTCTAATCCCTCATGGGAACCACCGTCAGGCATTACTTCGTGAGGGGAGGATCTAGCTACTGCTCTTCCTTCTGGTGGCTAAAGTGTTAACTACCTTCCTTCTATCTTCTGCTATTTGCTCTTCTTCTTTCGGTGGAACGCAAGTCTTTGAGGACTTCTGTTGCAAACGTGTTGGTAGCGTTCCAGGCAGCTTCTGATGACAACATTGCTTCCACTAGTGAATCTGGTTGCAATCTCTGGTTCAGGATCCTCTCCAGCTCTTCACGCTGTGGGTCGAAACGAGGACATACAAAGAAGACGTGCTCCGCATCTTCAGCAACTCCTGGGCAGGTCGGGCACTCCGAAGAGTCATCGTGCTTGAAGCGGTGTAGATACTCTCGGAAACACCCATGTCCCGACAACATCTGCGTAAGATAGTAATTGACCTCACCGTGATTCCAAATTTGGTTAAGCCAAATGTCGATCTTCGGTATGAGACGGTGTGACCATCTTCCTGTTGTCGCGGCGTCCCACTGCGATTGCCATCGTGCAATGCTGTTTTGCCGTTCTTCAGCTCTGAGTTCCTCGGCACTTAGTGTGGTTGACCTCTTTCGTTGGTAAAGGTTCCGTCTTTCCTCAGCTAGAATTCTGAGCGGTAGAGTTCCGGAAATGACACACACTGCTACTTCTGATATCGTGCGGAATGCACTGGCTAGTCTTACAGCGCTCAGTCTATATACTGGTCCTGCTTTTCTCCATGATTCTTGCAACTCCAGCGCGTCTGCCCAAATAGATATTCCATATGTGAGCACCGATGTGACAACTGATGATAGTAGTTGTCTCCTGCTCTCCTTTGGGCCTTCAACGTTCGGCATCAGTCGTGCGAGACTAGCCCTCACTACTGACGCTTTGGCACTGACGTGTTCCACTTGCTGTTTAAAGTTGAGACGGGCATCAAGCATCATTCCCAAATATCGGATGTAAGGTTGTGATGTGATTTCTTGTTCGCCTACTTTCAGCTTGATGGTCTCTAACACTTTTCTGCTGGATATAAGCACTGCCTCAGTTTTGTGTGTAGCTAGATGCAGGTTTACCGTATTTATCCACCGATGGACTCGCTCGAAGGTGATGTCGAACATGTTGTTAATCTCGTCAAGGTGTTTAGCGACGATTACTACGGCTACGTCGTCTGCATATGCTACGAGTTTTATACTTCTTGGCAATTTCAATCTCAGTAGGCCATCGTACATGATATTCCACAGCAGTGGACCAAGTACAGAGCCCTGGGGTACACCTCCGGTAATATCATACTCTTTTAGACCATTCTTCGTGTCGTATTTAAGAACTCTATCGGTAAAATAGCTGGCCACTATTCTACACAGGTATTCTGGGACGTTTTTCTCTCGAAGAGCTTGCATGATGCAGTTCCAGTTGGCGGAATTGAAGGCGTTTTTAATGTCTAATGCCGCCACCAGGCAATACTTCTTTGCGCTACCCTTCCCATCTCGTTCCTGCGATCGCTTCTTTAGCCGTGCTAACAACCAGATTGATCGCGTCCAGGGTTGATCGTCCTTTCCGGAATCCATACTGGTTGTCTGCCAGGAGTGGGTCGACTACTGCATCTATTCGTTGATGAATTATGCGCTCAAATATCTTACCCGTCGTATCTAGCATGCAAAGTGGTCGGTAAGATGACGGTTCTTCTGGTGGTTTCTTCCCTTTAGGTAACAGTACTAATCGTTGCTGTTTCCACTTACGAGGAAAAGTCCCCTCCTTGAGTCATGCATTATAAGCGTCTAAGAATAATGTTGGAGCTGCCTTTATGATGGTTTTCAAGGCTAAATTAGGGATTTCGTCCAATCCCGGCGCTTTATTATTCCCTACACGGTTACAAGCCTCCAGCAGTTCTTCTTCAGTGACAGGTGGGATGTCGTCCAATTCGCCTGGCGCCAACTGATAATCTAAGTTGCGTTGCTGTGGAAACAATGCAGTGACGATTTTCTGAAGAAGTTGAGGGTGGGTCATAACCACCTTATAAGGCCTACCCCACACGTCTTTATCCACTTCGTATATAAGCTCTTTCCAGCATCTTCTTTTGCTCTCTTTGATGGCTTTATTCAGTTCACGACGCGCCTTTTTGTACTCTGCGATCAGCTCCACTGAGTTAGGCCGTTGATAGCCGCGCTGAGAGATTCTTTTTTTCTTATGACACTTTTTACGGAGGGCGCTGATGTGGTCGTTCCACCAATGGACCGAAGGTCTCGACTTTATGCCACGTTTACGAGGCATACTGGCATCACAAGCATGGGTTACTTTCCTCATCAGGTCCTTAGTCTGTTCTTCTGCACCTCCAATGTTGATCTGATCACCATCGAGGGCTATTAGTAATGCTTCTGGGTCAAAAGATTTTACCTTCCAGCCAACGATGTTAGACTGCTTGACTGGTCTCTTGGGGTTCTGGTCGCTTGATATTTCCCAGAATATCGCATGATGGTCGCTGGCAGTGTAGATGTCCAACACTTTCCAGTTGCAGTCGCCTCTGGCAAGGCTATTACCGACAAAAGTGAGGTCTACAATTGAGCTTGCGTCACCTTTGGTGTAGGTCGGCGTATCACCACTGTTGAGCATAACTACATCTAGTGTAGTAAAGGCCTCCAGTAGTGCTTTCCCTCTTGCGTTTGTATGTTTGCTGCCCCAGTCAACTGCCCAGGAGTTGAAGTCTCCGGCTATCGCTACTGGATGATATTGCTTCGCATCTTCGGTTAGTCGATCCAGGAAATCAGTGAAGTCGACAATGGAGAGGCTAGGTGGTGCGTAACAGCTCTAGAAGCGGATGCCTTCTACTGATACTGCTACAAAGCTGGCATTGCTGTTGTCGACTGCATTTTGGAAAGAAAGCTTGCCACAGGACCAAATGACAGCTTTGGATGTGCTGTCAGATTCCCAGGGTTGGGTACTCAGGTGTTTATATGGCTCTGCTATCAGTACCAAGTCAAGCTCTAGTTCTCGTACGGATTGCATGAGCAGGTCATGCGCTGCCTCACAATGGTTGAGATTGAGCTGCAGTATCCTCATGCTTGCTTGTTCGTCAACTTCTGGAGTGCATTCTGAAATACCGGGCACTTATGGATACCGGCATAGTGGGCAACATTCTCTGCACTTTCAATCTCAGCATTTAGTGCACATTTGGCTGGATTTTCACAATCAGCAATCTTGTGCCCTTCTTGTCCGCACCTGATGCAAAGCCTAGAACGATCGACTTTACTTTTGCACTGGGATCCGAAGTGCGCAAAGTGCCAGCATTTGAAGCATTGGACAGGTCTCTTCGTTGCTCTTATTCGGCAGTTGGCCCAACCAATTCTCACTTTGCTGTTTCCTTCTAGTAGCTTCTGTGCAGTTGTCGCTGGTAGCGTCACTGTAGCAGTCTGAGTACCTCTGTAGGCTTTACGGATCTTGATCGACTCCAGAGGTATTTCACAGATTTCTCCAGCTTCTTTTTTCAGTGCAGTTTGAATGTCTACCTTCGTCGTGTCGTCATTGACGTCTCGGATCTCGATAGTCTCCTGTGGCCCTTTGCATATCACTTTGGCTTCCTCTTTAAGGATGTCCGCGATGGTCTTTTGTAGGGCTTCGCCTCTATCAGCACTCTTTCTCGAAAGTGTGAACAGCATGTCCCCGGTATTGGTCTTGTGGATTTTTTTCACAGTCGTACGGACCTGTTCATCAGGGACGGACTGCTTGATTCGACGCAGAATCTCGGCGTATTTCTCCTTCTCGGCAGGGCGAATGATCAGTGCGTCGGGTCTGATCAATTTGCGGGGTTTTTCCCGCTTACGCTCCGGCCTGGGCTCCTTCGAAGTCTGCTTTAGGAGCTGCTCTTCGGCTAGTCTCCTTTTCTCCTTCCTTGATTGG